GGGAGTCTAAGTGGTGACTCCTCAACTGGCCCTTAGCTCTTTCTAGCCCCAGGCCTACCCCTTAGAGTGAGAGGGCATTGTCTGGTATATTCCAGGGCTCCCAGTATTTTCCTACACTGCACTCCCATAGACAGGCAGTATATAAAGCCCTCGATGTTGTTGTTCTATGCAATCCTTCTTGTGCTACATCTAACAGACATTTCCCCAACACCGCAGTATGAGGGTGACACTGATTCTTCCTCCTCTTGAGTATTTCATTGGCCACTTAAGTGGTAAAACTGGCGTGGAAAGGAACGGGAGTGAGTTCCTAAGTGCTGACCCTGCATTTTCCCAAAGGCAGTATTTTAGGATGATTAATCTGCCACTTGCTGTGCAGAACGGATGTGAATGGACTGGTGGGGGGGTGGGGGAGGGGTCTGAAATCAGTGGTCTACTGAGAAGAGTATGGGGTTAGCACAGTGGGTGATACGAATTCTGGCTTTGGTTCTGCCACTGACCATCTGTATACCTTGCTACACCCAAAGCCCGACATTGTGCCTTCATCCAGGACTTTATCTTCCAGCACTGAAAGTCTATGATTATATATTTGGGAAATGCATAATTTAGAAATCTTATATTTAAGGATGGATATGCTACAGATTCCATTATATTTCTTGAAACTACACATAATAAAAGGCTGAAAGGCTGAGAGAAGAAGGTTAACCTATAATATGACATCTTCAGTGCTCACATCAAGACCCTACTTTTGGACCATTGTAACTCCTGATCAATTTGCCTCCTGTTAATGACTCATATGTTAAAAAGATATAGCATATTTTTTTCCTGATCCTTATTTTTATATTTTTCTGACATTAACCTCTGAGCACCTCCATCATATTGCTGACATCACCAAATGTTCCAGTCACATTAATTGGTATTTGGTTTAACATGCTCCCGGGCTCTCGATTGCTTTCCTCCTTCCTACTCCCTAGCAGCCTTTATCAAACACCACTGTCCTGGGTGCTGACACTGAACGGCAGTTGACTTCAATTTCTACTGAGGTCACCCTGAGGCAGGATATCCTAAAACCCGGCAAGGAAAGGTAACTCCAGCTATTTAAAGAAAAGTCCTTTAGTTAACACATTACTGACTGGGGGATTTTTGCAGAAACTAATGCCTGTGGCCGTAATACGTCTCCGGTCAAAAATGTGTTAAGTCTGGTGTTTCTCATACAGTTTTCTTTCTTCAGAGAAGTCCCAAGGTAAACAGCTTTGACCCTGCCCTTCCAAATTCAGCTCTAGTCTATGAGTTTTGCCCACCTCCCTGGCAAACTTTAATCATCTCAGGTTTCTTTCTCTATATTTCCTGGAGAGTGTGATTCTGGCTCTGAAAAAAAAAGAGGTCTTTTACAAGGAAGGAACAGTTCATATGCATGCAGTTGTTCACAGGCTGTCATCCTTCCTAGTTCAGCTGACTGCTTGGAAGAAATACCACAAATAGTTTTGAAAGGAGGATCTGAAGTTGGTACTAAATTATGAAGTGTTACAAACATTAAAGAGGAAAATCAAAAAAGGGTATTGGCACCATGGAAAAGGTAAAAAAAAATTCCAAACCACTCTCTTCACAGAATTGACAAGTGAGATTTAGCTAAAGGAAATATAAATATATGAATTTGAGAACTGTAACAAAGAACTGTTGGGCCAAGAAAGGATGAGGAAAATGGCTGTAAAGCATCAATATTAAAAAACAAACGTGTTCATTAAAAATCTTTCAACAGAATAGACTGAAAACAGGTTATTTTGGTTAATTATTCAGTGGCGACAGTGGGTTTTGTTTTACAGATGGGAAGCTGAAACCTTTAGAGGAAAAGTGACCTGACTACTATCATAAAGAAACAGGACCCCACTGTTCTGATTCTCAATTCCCTTTGCACCAAAATCCAAACGACATTCCATCTTTTATGTTCCATTGTTCTCTAGACTCAACCCTCTAGGATGTGGAAACTTTGATGCTCTTGGAAATTGCTTCTATATTTGTCCAGTGCCAACTGCTGTGCTAGGAGAAGCCTGAAGTTCAACCAAAAACACAGGGCTTGGCACAGTCAAAAGCTCATTACGACTTCTCATTAGCTGTGTCTCTTGGGACAACTATGGCATTCCTGAGTGTGACTCCGTATCTCCCTCCAGTCATAACTGAGGGTTCCTGATTAATCTGAACTGAGCCCGAATAAAGGCTGCAATAAGCTCCAAGCAAATGAAGCAACACATCTTGTAGGAAGAAAGTAAAAAATTACATGAAAATTTCTTGAAGTGCCAACTTAGTATTAACCATAATACCTAACATTTATTTAGCATTTATTATGTACCAGGCACTGTATTTGTGCTTGACATTCATTAATTCATTTATTTCTCTTAAAAACCCCATGAGGCAGGTACTATTATTATCCCTATTTTAAATAGGAAACTGAGTCCCACAGATGTTAAGTAACTTACTACGCTTGCTAGGAACAAGAATTACTTCAGAACAATAAGAGTAGTGTATCGACTGATACTCAGGATCCTGATTTCGGGAGCCATGAAAGGTTTCTCTAGATTAAAAATAACTTCATCAATCCAAATACAGTATGGGGTTTAGTTCATAGTAATGTACCGATGACAGTTTCTTAGTATGGCACAGTCTTCAAATGTACCATAGCAGTATAGGATGTTAACCGTGGGGAAAACTGGGTTTACTTATCTTTATGTGTACTATCTGTAAATACAGATTTTCTGTAAATCTAAAATAATTCTTAAATAAAAAGATTATTTTTAAAAACTTTACCTAGATACTTCCTAGGGGGAACTTTTCATTGAGTCAGTTCAGAGAAAAACAATGCTATTCTTTTTCCTAAGAGTCGGATGCATATTGAAAACAGCAGGGGCCTCACGGCACTAGTTTACATATAAGGGAAAGGATGTTCAGGTCTCCATTAGTGCTAACTTGTTTAGCTTCAGAGACTTGTGCTAGAGTTTTAAAGGCAAATTGGAAACTATTTCCTGGAACAACGCCTCACTGCATGCCTTTTGATACTTGGATTATATTTCTTAAATTCTGAAGAAATCTTGCTTTCCCCCCCTCTTCTGTGCTTTTTTGGTGCTGAGCTGCTTCCGGTTTTCCCACACTCCTGCCCGTCAGAGAGAAGAAACCACAAAAATGCAGCAAAGCAAAGTTTGTCCATAGAGCTGCAATTCCATCTCAGAAGCCTGAAGTGCTCTCCTGCCAGCAGTGAGTTCAGGGCAGTGAGTGGGGTCCTCGAATGTCCAGCCCTGCTGCCTGCTGACGGAGCCCCCCTCTCCACCAGCAGACTAGCCACAGGGGCACCACGGGCCATCTCAGCAATAATCGGAAAAGCCACAAACGAGGAGCACACTGGCAAATTCAACATTCATATCCAACTCACTGATATTCCCACCTAACTGTGGGCTTCTCAAACCTGGGAAAGAAAGTGTGGTTTTGGAATGCTTATAATGGTTACTAAGGCTTACTGAGTTCTTAGGTGTGCTAGGTCTTGTGCTATGTACTTTACAGATATTAAGTCTGCTAATATTTATCAACTGTCCTATGAAGCAAATACACTTTGTTATCCCCACTTCACAAATAAGGAAACTGAAGTCAAGAGTTTAAGTAATTTGTAACTTGTGGAAGATCTCACGTTAGTAAAGTGTGTGTGTGTGTGTGTGTGTGTGTGTGTGTAGGGGGGGTGGGTGGGATGAGACACAGGCAGGCTGGCTCCAGAGGCTGCACTCTTAAGGATTCAAGGCTATTCTTTCTAGGGTGAGGGACCATACATCCTTCTGATCGTGCTATTGGCTCTCAACCACGAACTGCAGCCTTCCCACTGCCCTCTCCTTACTGCTCCAGATAGTTCTATAAAGTCATTACGATGCCTATTATTCTTAGAACAGTGCTTGGCACTTGGTAGGCACTGAATAAACGTTTGTTGGATAAATGAATAATGGCAGCAATACAATTAAAACAACCACGAGGGATTGTTTTCCATCCAAATCCAGAATTTGATTCATTATCCAAGGGGGGAAAAACACTAACTGCTTTTTCTATGCCCTAGGATTCCTTCTTACAACTAAAATTGATTTTGTGAAGGACAAATGAATGGGGAGCCTCAATGAGAACAAGAGAAATACACAAACCTCCTCTAGGCGTTTATCCATCAGGGAATGCCTGCCTCTTCCAGACATCTTTGATAAGTTCCCCAATTTTAAATGGAGAGGGGCTGTTAGAACCAGCACTCCTTTTACCAGTCCATTTCTGGTTTACTAGGGAAGGTGGCTGGAGGTACAGTGAAGGACGTGACCTAAAAAACGTGATTCAGGTACGGAAATGTCTTTTTTGAGGTAAAACAGGTAGATGACAAAAGGTATTAGAAACATTGCTGCTACACAGAGCCTGATGACTAAGGTCAATGAAGTTAATCCCTCTAATGAAATCCCAATCCTATGTCTTCCCTTTCAAATGCCTAAAAATGAACAAACAAGGGTGGGGGTGAGGGAAGAGTATTGCATTTTATCTGAAATATATATGAAAAGATCTAACTCTGTAGAATGACCAAAAGAGAAACACATCCAGGAGGAAGTTTTCATTTCCTCCCTCCAAGCCCACAGTTCAGCACTGTTACCCAGTGCACTGTCTGACTGAGGTTCCTGCTAGAGGCCCGAAGAGTTAGTTAGCAATGACCCTGAACCCTGCCAGTGGCAGCACTCATCACAACCACTGGGGAACATAAAAGAGCAGTGCCTGCCCCCCCCCCACGGGGCACAGCCTGGACATTGGCTGTGCTACAATAGCTCCCCAGGTGATTCTAATTTGTAGCCGGGGCTGAGAACCAGTTAGCCTTTATTCCCCATCAGGTGTTCTTTTCAACATTTCAGCACAAACTGTCTTGAGCCTCCAGAAATAGAGAGCACTGTTTGCATAGAATTGATACAACTCAGAAGAAACTGAACAGAAGATTACTGAAAACTTACTTGGAAGCCCTCTGGGATGCTGCCTTTCTGAGGACTTGTTTGTGATTGGACGGGGGTTTGGGGACCAAGGAAGAGGAAGAGCTTGGAGCTGGCACCACTTTTTGTGGCAGAGTGGTTGGCTTCTGGCCACTAGCTGTGGCGCTTGAAATTCTGCAAGCTGCACCGTTATTTATTGTCCATAAATTGGAGTTAGGTAGTGTCTGGCTGCCAAAGATCGCCTACGAGAAAAAGAAAAAAATGAAAGATGGAGATGCCCTTCACGAATTAGTCTGCTGTAAGTCAGTAACTGGTTTGCAATCCTGAGGTGGGACAAAAGGAAATGGGAAACCATTAAAATTAAGTAATTTTTAAGGAAAAACTTCTCCTCCAGTAAAGCCAATGCAGGTTTAGGTTCAGGGAAGGAAAGTCTCTTTTAGCAGAGAGTTGAGATTATCTTGCTGAAAGTACACTGGAGTAGGACTCAGGGCGGCTGGGTACTATGTATTGTCCATATGCGTGAATTAGAGAAGCATTTGGTCTCTCTCAGTCTTAGTATCCCTTCATTGTTAAAGTCAACAAGTATTTAATGAATGCCTCTTGCTGGGTATCGAGTACTAGAAATACAGCACAGAACAAAAGTGACTTGAAGCCTGACTCAATTCCAGCCCACTCCCAGAACTCTGAACTCCTCTAGAAGGTTCGTACCTTGGAGGAAAGGGAAGGAGCCAGTGTGGCGTAGTAACACCTTGATGACCTAAAGATTAACATAAAACTACACTTGAAAACACTTTCAAAGTAAAATTACTACATGAATAGTAGTTACTATATACAAATACCAGAGCAAAACAAGGGTATTTTCGCTCAGAGGGTAAGCCTACAACTATTGAATAATGACCTAAAAACCATCTAGATGTCACAAACACCAACATGTACCTGCAGTAAGGATGTATTTAATTGTACACTTCCTCAGGGAGAGGCTTAAAAAAACTCTTACAGCTTAATTCACCCCATTAGAAATAGTTTTTTTGTGTCCCAAATTTTGTTACTGATTCTTCAATTGTGTTAACACTGCTTTCAATATGCATTGCTTCATAAAAGCTTTAAATGTAAAATAATATTAGGAGGAAAATAATATAATTGACAAAATACGTAGGACTTTTTATTAAAAGGATTTCTGGCAACTGATATCTATTTGTAGGCACAACATTTTAAGAGGCATGGAAGAAATGTCATTTCCTCATGGCAAGGCCTAAAGGAATAAGTTCAGATGCTCTTACATTCACCTTTTAGGTGAACTTCACCAGGTAAACTTATTTTTTAAGATATAAGAGACAAACTGGGTAGCTTTAGTAAATAAATGTTAACCAACCCTTCTATACTCATGCCTTGGAATGTCCCATTTCAGGAAAATGTGTCCAAGGGTTCCGGGCTGGGCAGATATGAGTGGGGGATCAGGGAGGGGGTCTTGTGTGGAGGGAATGTGTTTGGCTGAGAGGCTTGACAAAGAGCAAAGTGATTTCAGAGGTGGAGGATTGGGGCTTTTTCACACAGACCAACTGGACTGAGATGTTCCCCGTCTCTGGAAACCACCCGAAAGGGAACTGAAGAGCTGTTCGCTTGCTTCTATCTCTGACCACAGAAGGGGAGCTGAGGAAGACCTGAGCCCAGGGGCAAAGCCAGGAGCCCGGGGCTGCAGAGTGTGTACACGGGGGTGTACGTGGGAGTGGGGGAGGCGAGGGGTTGCGTGATCTGCAGAAACCAAGGGGTGCAGCAGAGGCCAGCTTGTGGGCACTGGCTCAAAAACAAACCCACTCCTTTCAAGCACTGTTTCCATATCTGAGGGCCTCAAAATCTGTGGGAGAGATTCACTTGGGAGGAAGGAGGGAGGCAGGAGAGGGCTAACCTAGGCTTCTGTTTTCACCACTGCCTCCCAATAAGTGAGCTTAGACTGAAGAGTGCTTGAAAGATGCCTCATTCAGGGTGGGGAGAAGACCAGAACTCAGAATGGGGGCTGAAGAGTCCTATGTCGACCATCCATAAACACATTCACTGGATGAGTAGTAGAGGAGGAAAACCACTGTTAGTGAAATGCTCTTGGAAATAAAAACATTCTTTACTGAGTTAGATTTTTCACGCTGTGACAGAACTGCCATCAGTAAGAACATCTATTCAATACATGTTGCCCTGGTGACAACCGTATTTCAAATTCATTGAGTTTTTCTTTTGTTAAAAAATCTTCCTGGGACATCTAAATACAAATAAAAAGATGAATAAAAAGAGCAAGATCAGAACAGTGAGTATAGTAAGCTTCTACTTGAGTAAAAAAGAAAAAAGGATACATACAAACATACATTTATATGCCAATACACACACACAAACATATATACAATGTTGGTATCTGCACAGAACAATTCTGAAAGGCTCTTAAAAATAACTGGCATCCTCCATGGAAAAGAACTGTTAGCTAGGGGTCAGGGGGAGAGGGAAACTAATTTTTTACTATATATCATTTGTACCTTTTTGAATTTTGTACCATCTATATGTAGCTATTTATTACAAAAATCAATTATTGAAAAGTCAAAAGGAGGTCAAGTTCTAACAAGATTTGAGCAGGTAACAGATTAACTTTCTGAGTACAAATCAAAGTATCCAAATGAAAACCAAGTTTCAAGCAGCTGGTTCTAGGACTTGCCATTAGACTGGGTTGAAGAAGGAAGTGACTGTTCAACACTTACTATGGCTACAAAACCAGATTAGGTCATCAGCGAAAAGTAGACACTCAGGTAAGTGGAAAGGAGCATGGCTCTGCAGTCAAATGTGCTTGGGCTCAAATGCAGGCTCTGTCACTTATAAACTGGGTGGCCTTTTCAAGTTACTTAACCTCTCTGAGCTTTAGCTTCCTCATAAAACAATTATAATCGCTTGGCTGGATTGTTGGGGATTAAATGAAGATCACAGAAGTAAATGTAGCCCAGGCACTCAGTAAAGGTTTCTTGAAATAAATCAAAGTGCCAGGAACACAGTAGAAACTGAAATGCTCCCTTCCTTCCCAAACTACTGCCTTTTACTGAGGAACCAAAGGATGGGCTGATATGTAAGTCTGCTTATCTGTAATGACTTGTGAATGGTAGTTGGTTCTACGTTTTTCAACATAGTTTTCTAGTCTTATAATGATGCTCACTACCTGCAAAAACAAACTCTTAAAGTGAAAACATATGTGTAGGTTCCCCAGATCATATTTACTCAATTCTCTTTGGCAGAAATGATCTTTCCCTCTTCTAAATGCTTATAAAAATGTATTTGTATGTGTCTTATCACATTTAGCACATTCTGCCTTGTATTACAGGCACTTATATATGTACTTTTTTCTGCTTCTGGACAATTCATACTGGAAATGCCTGGATTTATATCTGATTAATTTTTGTTTCACGAACTGCCTAGTAGAATGCCTTGTGCATAAAAGGTGCTTAATAAGCATTTACAACATGAATGGAAAAAAAAAACAACTCACATTATACCAACTATTGATTTTTTTTAAGCATCAGTTAAATTCCTATACAAGAAAATAGGCAAGTTTGTGTTTACATAGAGATGTAATCTTGTAATAGGACCATTCTCTGGAGTTTGAATAGTGCCTAGTGTGGTATGTGTTCAACTTATACTCAGCCACAAAATGTAAGTAAGCCCTTCTATAGATCCCAAACAAAAATAAATTCACCTTCCTAGATGCAAATTTTGTGGCAGGACCTTAGACACCAATGTTCCGTAAGTAATAAGATCAGTCTTTATCTCAAAACACAAAATAAAATAAATCAGAAGAATTTATTGCTTAGGAGACTCACTTGCTTGGGTACTAATAATTCTTCCTTTCTTCCCAATAAAACTGCCCTGATTTTGTTTGGGTAATAATGTGTGCCCAGCTAAAAAATTACATTTCCCAATCTCTCCTGTACCTTGAGATAACCATGTGACCTAGTTCTGAGTTGTAAACAGAAGTTTCCAGGTACAGGTTCTGGGACAGCTCTTTAAAGGGGGCAGACTGGGTTGGTTGGTGCACAACTTTTGCCCTTTACTGCTCTTCTTCTCCCCACCCAGAACATGGATATCTACGTAGAGGTGGACAGGCATAGGTAACTTCCATAGGGTGGAAGTTACTTGTTAACGGACCGCAGAGGGGAAAGACAGGAGGAGCACGGGTTCCTGATAGCACCACGGAATTTAGGAGCACCTAGCTCTAGATTTCTGACTATACTGGGGAAAGAAAATAAACCTCTAACTTGTTTAAGCCATGGGTGTGTGTGTGGGGGGTGCCCTATTACATGCAGCCAAGTGGAACCCTAACTGAGCTGAGATATAATTCTCAATCTACCAAAGAGTCAAGCTTGTTTCAGCCTCAATGTAACATGTGCTGCATCTCAAAAAAGCAGATACTTTTTCCAAATACAGTAAAAAGCTTCCAGGTTCTCATTTGTTGTTTGGTGATCATATGCTCATATACTGAATGGGTAATGAAATTATTACAATTCTATGCCATCCAAAACTCCCAAAAGTCAGTAATGTGGACAAGTCCCCAGGTGTTTCACCAAAGCCAAGACTAAGTGGAATGAGATTAAAGTAATCAAATCTGATTAAGAAGCAAACCAGGAAAGTACTCAGGTAATGTTAAAGGCAGACATATATATAGATGTTTTTAGACTACTGGCAGAAATCAGCCTCCCCAGGTACACCCCGTAGCCTGTATTGGCCCTAATCCTACCACTCTACCAATGACAGATTGTATGAACTGTTTTGTCCTGATATTCATTCAAAAATAAGCAGAAGAATTATATAAAGTTCTCTCCATATAATTTCTAAAAAATGTGAGGTTTGGATATACAGTATTAGCACTCTGCACTTGTGGGTTAACCCAGGGATGGGGGCCGCACCGTCATCAGTCAATGTCCTGGGAATGTGAGAACTGTATAAGCACCAGCTGTATAAGACCTGGTCAACAAGTACAAGCCCTTTGCTTCTTTATTGGGTGTGGGAAACAGCAATGCCTCAGCAAGGAGGCTCAGAGAAAACCACAGTTTGAGCGTTGGCTTGGCCACAGACAAAAGACTGGAAAGGCCCTCCTTCTCCCACAACAGAAGGGTACTCGTGGGTGGGAAGGAGGAATTTCTGATAGAACACAGACTGAAACTTGGAAGGTCACAGGGAAGCAAGATCTGAGCTCTCTTACTAGAAAGATAACACTGTT